CAGTTATGATAATTTACTAATGTCTTGTCTACTGATTCTAATATTTACACCCATTCTGCAGCGAGACAGATGGACTTCTCTGGGCATTATGAGTCATATATTTTGATACTTTTGTATTCCTGGTAATTTCTTTTATTAGATACATGGCACTGAATGATTTGTATTGTTGATGACTGTTATTTTTCTATTCCTATAAATCTTCTTGAACTTTTTTCACAGTGGCATTAATTAGAAACATGAATCCTCCAATGTCTTGATTTTAACATTTATTGGAGAAATCAGTGCTGCACCCAATCAGTGATAATTTCCATAATGTCCACACAGATGCCCTGGGTGCTCTACTGGTGTCTCCTGGTCATAGTTTTCCAGTTGGACTGGTAGGAATAAGTGCCATTTCTGGCCCCTGAGAAAGCACTGGACACGGTTATATATGTTGCTTTTTGAACCACTCCCTTATTTGCAAACCTGGACCTGCAGTCTGCTTAATGCTCTGGAGACTCCCCTCAGATCTCTCTTTTTCAGACTCTGTGGACACCAATTGTCTTTGGCCTTCTGGATTTTCAGCCTCATCTCACGACCAGCAGGTCCTCTGGGTCCTTCGACTTCCCTCTCACTTTCCTGCTGTTTGTCACCCTGTCACGTCCCCTGAATAGAGCAATCATGGACTGTGTCATTTGTTTCCAGTTCTCCTACATAATTGCTCTTTGTTGCCTGACTCCTGTGCATTTCATTTTCTTGTTTATTTTTGACTACTTCAGGTGAAAGGTAAATCTGTCTCTATTTTCCTTTTGGTACCAAGTCCAAAACACACTGAGTAAATGATAATGAAACATTTGTATACCTTTCTGTCACGTATCATATTAGCACATAAATTTAGTGTGACTGTTTACATGTTTCTGAACTTAATTTAATTTTTCCTCATTTATTTATGTTACTGCACTTATATTTATATTCAAAAGACATGAAGACATTTGCTGGTTATATTCAATGTGGCAACACTGAGCCTAGCCTAGTAAAAGAAACGAATAACAAAGAATCATGCTCGAGAGAGCCTCAGAGAAAGCCAGGAACTCAGGTAAGTTAGCAGTGTGATAAAAAAACAACTAACCTAATTATAAGTTGCTATGGTTACTGAGGTGTGGCACTGCCCACATCTCAAGGGATTAGAAACTCAGGTTGATAGGTAACTGATGCCCGTCTTTGCCTTCCTTTTTGCTCCAATGACATGACTTAATGATGAGAGTCACTCTTCTCCCGTAAGTACGCTTAGGAGTCTGATCGATTACTACATGTTCATTATTGTGGTCAGTGATTCGTTTAGCTATGAGCCCAGGATGCACCATTGAGAAAGGAAATGGTAAAGTACTTTGCAGTTGGTCTCAGGACAAGCTTTGCTCTGCTAAAAGGAGTTAATTCTTCGGATGGTGTTGATCACACCTGCAAGGCAAGGTAAGGCTATAGTATCCTTCTTTGTGGTCCTCAAAGGTCAGGCTCAAGGATAATTCCTAACATCTGAAGGATGGGAGGTCAGGGAAGAGGAGCTGCTGGTCCTATTGACCTCACAATGTTGATGAATTACAAGTCTGGAATCTTCCATCTTCATTTCTGTTGTTACTACTGCTGTGTTAGATAGCAAGGCTTTATTGTTCAAGCCAGTTATTCTGTTCCATGTGATCAGAAGTTCCTAACTGATACAAAAAGTTTCCCATAGAATGGAATTTGCTTCATGCCTTAAAGAGCTGAGGATACAGCATACTCACCTGGGGGAAGAGTGGAAGGAGGCCATCCCAGGCAAAGGGAGGAGCTCAGGCAACGACTTGGAAACACAATAGTTTGGAGTTTGAGAATTCATCTTTGTGTTGAATTCGGACCTTTAAACAGAGAGAATGTCCTTTGCACATAATGGCTATCAATTACTATTTGTTGCTTGATTGCTTCCAGATTTTCTTTAATTATATTAAATTCAGTACATCAATGAAATTCTGAGTGTCTATGAAGTGCATATGCTGTGAACTTCACAGGTGCATATGGTAGGTCTATGTGCTGCTCATTACAGCCTGTTACCTTCTAAAATACAGGAAGCTAAAAACATTTTCCTGTCTTAAGAGTTGCCATAAACCAAATATTTGTGCTCCCTCAAAATGCATATATTAAAACTCTAATTTCAAATATGGTGGGATTTGAAGGTGAGCTCATGAGGGACCTTGACAAGCTAATGAGATTATACTCATAATGTCCTGCCAGACACTCTGTGCTCTTGTATGAAGAGACATGCAAGAGCATGTTATTCTGCTTCTGTGAAAGATATAGCATTGGGAAACCAGCAAGGGTGATACAGAATTTACATATTGTTTTGGGTTCAGTATAAATTTTTTGAATAAATGAACCAAGATACATCTGCATTTTTTTTTTTTTTTTTGTATTGCTTCAATTACTATTGTCTGTCCTCGGTTTTTTCTTATGGGCCACCAACCAGATTCCAAATCACAACACAGAGACTTATTATTAGTTTTGAATGCTTGGCCTAGCTTAGGCAGGTTTCTAGCTAGCTCTTTTAACTTAAATTAACCTGTTTCTCTTTATCTACTTTTTGCCTTGAGACTTATTACCTTCCTTACTTCTGTATATCTTACTTTCATCTGACAGACATCTGACATCTGCCTGGCTTCTTGTCCTGGGCATGTCCTTTGTTCTCTCCTCCTTGTTCTCTCATTTTTCATCCTTCTTTTGAGCCTAGACTTTTTCTATTTATTCTCTCTGCCCATCAGCCTTGCCTATCTCTCTTCTGCCTAGCTATTAGATTTTCAGCTCTTTATTAGACCAATTAAGTGCTTTAGTCAGGCAAGGTGAAGCAAATATAACACATCTTTATGTAATTAAACAAATGCAGCATAAACAAAAGTAACATACCTTTAAACAGTTAAAGTAATATTCTGCAGCATAAACAAATGCAACACATCTTTAACTAGTTAAAATAATATTCTACAATATTTACCCCTTTTTGTTTAAATAAAAACAAAGGGTTTTAACTTTAACATAACAAAGCTATATTCAAAAAGAACAATTATCAAGTAAGGATTATATTTATAATATCTAATCCATTTGCATTTGGCAAATTCAGGAAAATACTCCATTATTTATCTTATCCTGAAAAGTTCAAAATTTTGAACCCAATTTACTTGCTATCATAACTAAGGAAAACTATAACTACAATAATCTATGATTCAACTTCATCAAGAACTCCAGAATGATACAATATTACCCGAGTGAACAGAAAGTGCAGTACAAACCACTTCCAAACTTATAGAACCTACAGAGACATCTGGCTGCCTGGACAGTCACCCAAAGTTCCTCTGTAAAATTGGGACATACAATCTTTGGCCTACAGACCTAAAATATCTGGAAGAATTTTTTATGAAGCAGGAATTTTCAAGGACTGTCCTGCCTTGTTTTAGTAAACTTCAGCAGATTCTTCCTTTGTGTCTTGCTTGTCTACTTTGTACAGCATAATTTCAGCAGTCAAGGCAAGAGCAGTTTCTTGCCCAAATGAAAGTAAACTGCGTATGGAGTTTCTTTGGTGTCTATCATCCTTTTAAGAAGTAGATCAGGCCGGGAGGTGGTAGTGCACATCTTTAATCCCAGCACTCGGGAGGCAGAGCCAGGTGGATCTCTGTGAGTTTGAGGCCAGCCTGGTACAGGACAGGCACCAAAACTACACAGAGAAACCCTGTCTCAAAAAAAAGTAGATTAGTGCTGTCAGGAACAGATGTGTCTCATAGTCATGAAAAGTCTCAGGTTCTTAAATATCTTAAATACTATGTTCTGTGGGTCTTTGAAGTGTTTGAAATTTGATTATTATAGATAACTAACTACTAACCTGAATTTCTTAATTATACATTACATTTTAAATGCATAAGCACAATACCTTAAACAAGAATAGAAATATGCATAGAGTTTAACAAAAATAACTTTAAATTTGTATCAGTTTAGCAAAATCTATACCAATGTAAAATATTTGAGGTTAATAGTTGTCTTTTTATCCTATATTCCTATATCCCCACTAAATGATGATAAATATCCATAACCCACCAAATGACCAAAAACCACCCACCCCATCTCTTGGATTACCTAGACTGCTTTCTGTTGTCTGTGGATGAAAGTATGTTTTTAGGGAATCTGAGAAAATTGAAATAATAGTCAAGTCCTGGGAAAACTAATAAAACATTTGTTGGCTAGTCACTGTGCAATTGGAAAACAAAAGACTTGTCTGCAGTCCTGGCTAGAAGTATCTATGTGGCTGGACCATCTCAGCCAGCAGCCTTGAAGCTGTTCTGGATGCAGAACTCTGAGGAAACTGCAACAGAGGCACTCTGAGAGGCTGGATCACCTGGGCCACTTCTTTTTATTGGTGTGGTCCCCTTGTTCTGACACACACAAACTTTCAAAGGCAACATACATATCTATATTAACACAAGTATGTGTAGACAAACTTCTAAATGGTCTTATTAAATAAAAAACACAGAGCCAAGTATAGTGGTGAAAGTCTTAGATCAGGGAAATAGGGAAAGCCACCAGCCAACCTTGCCTCACCAACTTTGCAACTTCTAATGGGAATTACTTCCTGTCTACCCATGCCTTTATTGCCTTGCTGTTCTGCCCTCTCATTGGCTATCTTAACCCAGCTACTTCACTTCCTCTTCCTAAGTAGCACTGTCACTTTCTGTCTGTCTGTACAGACCTCCGGGTCTCTATGGTTGGTACTAGAATTGAAGGTGTGTGTCACCACGCTTAACTCTGTTCCCTAGTGTGGCCTCGAACACACAGAGTTCCTGCCTGCTAAGGGATTAAGGGCATGTCCTGCCTGACTTCTTGTTTACTTAAAATGGTTGGCCTTTCCCCACTGAACTCCAGGCAAGTTTTTTTTTTTTTTTTTTTTTTAATTTTCTTAAAGCTTTTACTTTGAGACATCATGGAAAACACATACAGGGACACATGGAGAAGACATGATCACAGAATTGAAAGGTAACACAATCAGAAGCATCAGTGCTGCCTGTCAGCTAAGGTTGAAGTTCTGGGAGTTTGACATGATCCAGGGGTTTACAGGATGGATTAGTATTCCTCTCCTTCTTCCTCACCCTCTCCTTCAACAGAATCCACACCCACTTCCTCATAATCCTTCTCCAGGGCAGCCATGTCCTCACGGGCCTCAGAGAACTCCCCCTCCTCCATGCCCTCACCCACATACCAGTGCACAAAGGCACGCTTGGCATACATCAGATCAAACTTGTGATCTAGGCGAGCCCAGGCCTCAGCAATGGCTGTGGTGTTGCTCAGCATGCACACAGCCCTCTGGACCTTGGCCAGGTCTCCACCAGGTACCACAGTGGGAGGCTGGTAATTAATGCCAACCTTGAAGCCAGTGGGGCACCAATCTACAAACTGGATACTGCGCTTGGTCTTGATGGTGGCAATAGCAGCATTGACATCTTTGGGAACCACATCGCCACGGTACAGCAGGCAGCAGGCCATGTATTTACCATGGCGAGGGTTACATTTCACCATCTGGTTGGCTGGTTCAAAGCAGGCATTGGTGATCTCTGCTACAGAAAGCTGCTCATGGTAGGCTTTCTCAGCAGAGATGACAGGGGCATAGGTGGCCAGAGGGAAGTGGATACGAGGGTAGGGCACCAGGTTGGTCTGGAATTCTGTCAGGTCAACATTCAGGGCCCCATCAAATCTGAGGGAAGCAGTGATGGAAGACACAATCTGGCTAATAAGGCGGTTAAGGTTAGTGTAGGTTGGGCGCTCAATGTCGAGGTTTCTACGACAGATGTCATAGATGGCCTCGTTGTCTACCATGAAGGCACAATCAGAGTGCTCCAGGGTGGTGTGGGTGGTGAGGATGGAATTGTAGGGCTCAACCACAGCAGTGGAAACCTGGGGGGCTGGGTAGATGGAGAACTCCAGCTTGGACTTCTTTCCGTAATCAACAGAGAGCCTCTCCATCAGCAGGGAGGTGAACCCAGAGCCAGTACCCCCGCCAAAGCTGTGGAAAACCAAGAAGCCCTGAAGACCTGTGCACTGGTCAGCCAGCTTGCGGATTCGGTCCAAGACAAGGTCAATGATCTCCTTGCCAATGGTGTAGTGGCCCCGGGCATAGTTATTGGCAGCATCTTCCTTGTCCAGGCAACTTTTATTTATCAAAGCACAAATAAAATATCACCACAAGTATGGACTGTGCATTGTACACAAGCCAGCCAAAGATGATTTTTTTTTTTGTTTTATGTTTAAGCAGGTAAAATATATGTCACCTGTCTTATAGTTTTTTCCAGGTTTATTTCTCTATGTCTGTAATCAGGATTTTCAGGAGGTCTTCCCTTATCAAACCTAATCTCTATCAACCTTGGATGAATCCACAGCTTTTCATTTCCTGTGTAAACAAAAACATAACCTCTTCCCCAAAGCAATACATTTTTTGTTTTCCATTTTAAAGTTAAGACATTCCTAAAGTATTTAGGCTGGTTTATTTCAGCAGTCCCTTTCACAATCCCATGTCTCTAAGGAGCTCATCAGTATTCAAAAAATACAAAGACAACATAGTACCATGTAGGATACAGACTCCCTTTGTATTTTTCATCTCTCCGTGGCTTATTCTTTTTTTTATATTACTTTACATGTCTCTTTAAAGACTTTATTTTATTATTTTTAAACTATTTTTCCCTCTGACTCTCTATACCCACTTTTCTTTTCTTCTTTAAGCCTACACACATTTTTCAATATACTGGAACTTGCTTAGAGTTTATTTTCCATCTGAACCTGCCTTATTGTGTATCTCCAGCCCTTTTTGACCACATGAGCAAACCCCCAAACTAAGAGACTTTGCATTGGTGGCTCTGGTGGCTGGCTCCACCTGGATCAGTCCCTGAAAGCTGAGCTTTGTGGTGATATGTTATTGATGCTGAAATGTGGTGATATTTTATTTGTGCTTTAATAAGTAAAGTTTAACTGGAGATCAGAGGAAAAAGGCCAGTCATTATATGTGCAGTAGCACATGCCCTTAATCCCATCACTTAGCAGGCAGGATCTCTGTGTGTTCAAGGCCACACTAGGGAACAGAGCCAAGTGTGGTGACACATGCCTTTAATCCCAGTATGAACCATAGAGGTCTGGAAGTCTGTACAGACAGACAGAAAGTGACAGAGCTGTGTAGGAAGAGGAAGTGATGTAGCTATGCTAAGAGAGCCAATGAGAGAACAGAACAGAAGAGGCATATAAATGTGAGTATACAGGAAGACGCTCTCTTTGGAAGCTGCGGAGTTGGTGAGGTGAGGTTAGCTCGTGGTGAGGTGAGGTTAGCTCGTGGCTTGTCCTATTCCTCCGATCTTTTTCTTGGGCTTTAACCAAAATTTCTGGCTCTGTGTTTTTTATTTATTAAGACCATTTAGAAATTCGTCTACAGAGCTTTACACCCCAGGGCCTGGCTAAGAGTGGTGGTTTTTTAACTGGGAACTGCAGTCAGCTTCCCCAGCTCTGGGATGCTGGTGCCTGCTGTGGCAGGAGTCCCTATCCAGCAAGCTGTTTCTACTTAATGTTTTGATTGCACAAGGGCTTGGTGTATGGAAGAGTCTCTGAAAGAAGCTGTATCCATTTTTTTTTTAAATGCTTTCTCAGGCCCTTTGTGGAAATACAGGCCTCACTTTGGAACACCAAAATGTACCAGGCTTTTTCTTTTGGGCCACCAACCAGCTCCCAAATCATGACATAGAGACTTATTATTACTTTTGAATGCTTGGCCTAGCTTAGGCAGGTTTCTGGCTAGCTCTTTTAACTTAAAATAACCTGTTTTCTCATCTACCTTTTGCCTTGGAGCTTATTACTGGTCTGACTTCTATATATTTTACTTTCACTGCTTCTCATATCTGCTGCCTGGCATCTGCCTGGCTTCTTGACCTGGGTGTGTCTCTCCTTCTCTCCTCCTTCCTCCTTTTTTATTGAAGCCTAGATTTCTCCTCCTATTTATTCTCTTTGCCCACCAGGCCCGCCTATCCCTCTTCTGCCTAGCTATTGACCATTCAGCTTTTTATTAGATCAATCAGGTGCTTTAGGGAGGCAAAGTGAAACAAGTACAACATGTATTTTCATAATTACACAAATGCAGCATAAACAAAAGTAACACATATTTACACAGCTAAAGTAATATTCTGCAGTATAAGCAAATGTAACACCTTTGCCTGGTTAAAATAATAATCCACCACAATTGTCAATGTTTCCTAAGTCTCAGTAGTATATTTACTTTTTTAGTTAATTATTCCTAAGTACTTAATTTCTGATACTATTATAAATAAGATTGTTTTCTTAATCTATTTTGGTACTTTGTTTTTATACATACACATTCTACTGACTTTTTTTAAATCTTAATCAAATTTACTGAATTTGTATCAATTTTGGGGTAAAATCTAAAAGATTTTCTATATATAAGGTTTAAGCACTAACAAGAAAGTTACCCTTCCAGCTGTCCAGTTTGAACACCATTTATTTCTTCTTCCTGCCTAATTGCTCTGGCTAGGCTTTCCAGCACTTGTTTGAACAGGAGTGAACACAAGCATCCTTGTCTTGCCCTGGTCTGGGGGGAAAGGCATCAGATTCTTGCTGTTGACTTGGCTTTAGGTATTGACTTGTCATGTGGGCTTTATGGCTTAGAGGAACATTTTATTTATATCCATTAATTTGTGTAATGAATGTTGAATTTAATCAAATTCCCTTTCTTTTTTTTTGTCTTTAGTGTGTGAATCACATTTATTTATTTATGCAAAAACTTGAATTATAAAAATAACTGGAGAGAAGAGAGGAAAAGTTCTAGACCATTGGTCTGAACAATGTAAAAATTCCTATATAAGAAGGAAACAACAGAGTAAAGAGACAACCAGTAAGTGGGGAGGAAATATTCACTAGCTGATAAAGGGGTAACTTTCAAAATATGTGGGGAACAGTAAGGGGAAAAATTTAAATTGGCAAAGTTTGCAGTTTTTTTTTTTTTTAAATCCAAGAATTGTGAGCCTAGGTTACTTTTTGTGCTGAATTCCTGTTTGGAGTTTCTTTAAGTTCCATAGAAATCTTTGGGTTTATTTTCTTGTTATATGTAAAGGACATTGAAATATTAATAGGAAAGACATATTGCATAGACAAAGTATATATCTAAACGGATATTTCTCAAAAGAAGACATATAAATGGCTATGAAGCACATGAAAAGACACAGAGCATCTCTAATCAAGGAAATGCAAATTAAAGCCATCATGAGGCATCATGTCACAATTTTTAGGATGCCTATTATTAAAAAGATGAATGACAACAAGTGTTGGCGGGATGTGGAGAAATGGGAATTTCTGTATACTGTTGTTGGAATATAAATTAGTAGATCCATTTGCAACATAATAAAGTTTCCTCAAAAAACCCAAAATTAGATTATGATGTACTAATTTTATTTCTGGATATATTACCCCTCCCAAAGGAAATTATCTGCTTTCTGAGGTTCATTGCATCATTAGTCACAAAAGGAAGATATACAAGCAAAAGATGAATGAATCAAGAAAATGTAGTGTTTATAAACAACAGAAAGCTATTTGGTAATTAAAAAGGAGAAAGTTGTGTCATCTGAAAAACATAAAGAAACCTGGAGAACTTTATGCTAAGTAAAATAATCTAGGCACAGAAAGATAAATAATACCACATGATCTCACTAAATCTGTAGAGTCTAATAAAGTCAAATTAGAAGAAAAAGAAGGTAGTATGGTAGTCACCAGGTGCTGATGGGCTCAGCATGGGAGGCAAACACTTTTTGGTCAAAGGATACAAAGTTTCAGTCAGATAACAACTGCTTTAAGATCTATAATACTTCAAGATAATCACAATTGCTCATAAAACATTGCACATAACAAAACTACTAATAGAGTTCAAATGTTCTCACCAAAAAGTGCAAATATGAGATGACAGACATGTTAATTAAAGAGATTTAATGATTCATACATATAAATTAAAATACTGCATCCATAAATAGATGCAATAAATACTTGTCAAGTCAGAATAAAGCTGTAGAAGGAAAGAAAGAAACTGAAGTCCCAGTGAGATGGAGAATGTTTAGTGTATGAATTTCTCAGAGGTGATAGATGAACAGAGCTGGGTATTCTGCTCCCTGCTGGAGAGAGGCAGCAGTCATCATGATGGCCTAGGGAGGCAACGTGTTGAGGCTTCTCCTGTATGCTCAGCCTCAGGCCTGTTTTTCTTTCATGTATCCTGATAATTTTTGAGCCACACATGCCTTGTCAATCTTCTTTGCATAAACTAGATGAAATGTGTGTTGTTGGGAACTTTGTCAATATAACCCAGGTGACCCAGCTCAGGAGACTGGTTGTTATGAATAGTCAACAACATGGCCATGGAAGTATGCCTAAGGCATGTTGGCTAAACTGTTGAATTTACTCAGGAGCAGTGCACTTGTATCATGATGTAGTTCTAGTTTTAGTTCTTTGAGTCATATCCAAACTAATTTCCAAATGCTATGCTAATATTATTACATTCTTGCCAGCAGTGTGTAAGGCTTCTTTTTTCCATCACATCTTCATCAGCATTTGTTGTTCTTTTTTATATTGTGTTAGTTCTTTGAGGATTTTATACAATATTTTTGATCATATTTACCTCCCCCAGTCTCTCCAAGATCCACAGCCCCTTCCCTACATGCCCAGCTCTGTGTCCTTTCTTTCATTTGTTTCTTTTCTTAATGTTAACCATTTTCACTGAATGAAAAAGAATCTCAATGTAGTTTTAATTTGAATTTACTTTGATGCACATAGTTATTGGATGGTTCTATTTCTTCTTTTGAAAACCGTCTATTCAATTCATTTGTTTATTCCTGGGTTGAATGCTTTTTGATGGTATTTAGTATTTGAGTTATTTATATATTTTAGATATTAATCCCTTGTCAGATGTATAGTTGAGAACAATTCTCTCCTTCTGTATGCTGATTCTTCATTCTTCTGGTTTTTTCTTTGCTGGACGAAGTTTTTAATTTCATGCAATGTCGTTTGTCAATTTTGTTATTGTTTATTGAGTTATTGGGGTAATTTTTAGAAAACCTTTGCCTATGCCTATGTGTTTTCTTCTAGAAGTTTCATTATTTCAC